GGGGGTGGGTGATGTGCGGGTGTAGGGGGTGGGTGATGTGCGGGTGTAGGGGGTGGGTGATGTGCGGGTGTAGGGGGTGGGTGATGTGCGGGTGTAGGGGGTGGGTGATGTGTGGGTGTAGGGGTGGATGATGGGCGGGTGTTGGGGGTGGGTGATGGGCGGGTGTTGGGGGTGGGTGATGTGTGGGTGTAGGGGGTGGATGATGGGCGGGTGTTGGGGGTGGGTGATGTGTGCGTATAGGGAGCAGGTGCTGTATGAAATAAAAGTGTCAATGACACTGTAGCTCACCTTGGGTGTGATAGAAGAGGGAGGGGGGATATATAAAGCAAGAGCTAGTATATATGGGAGAACTCGCATTATATAGCATATCTCCAATTATATACTCTTGACAATAATATATGCATAAGTTTTGATGCGAAAATAAATGTTTCAGATCTGAAAGTCTGAAATCTTGACGAGAGATGGTGCTACGCCTAAATGATCGCCATTTTGGTTTTCGAATATCGCGCAAATAAAAACAATACAATATCCCAGTCATATTACTGTAACGAAGAATGTAAAACACAATATTACACGTATATAGGTATGATTGTAGAGTTGTTGACCAGTTAGACAAAGTAAACGTAATATAGGACGTTGTCATTTCTCCCATAGGAGTAACAACTGTTTTGGGGCTAGCCTTACACATCCACATACCAAAATTTAACAAAATCGAATGAATTTAGATGGCCATTTTCATTTTTGCCAAAAAATGGGGCGTGGCTCGATAGTAGGTCGACTGGTGTGCTACAAAATAGAAAGTTAAAATCTCTCCCATAGGAGTAACAATTGCATATAATTTGAAACATGTGGGTCAAACGGTTCTTGAGTTATCGTTGACCGTAGGCAGACACTGAAATGCACAGTGAAATTGCCAAAATCTACCTAATTTGCATAATTTACAAAAAAAATCAAAACCTGTGTGATATGTTTTGGGGCCAGTCCTCATTCATTCACATACCAGAAAAGAGCAAAATCCATTGAACCTGAACTGACTTATGGCCATTTCCATTTTGGCCAAAAAGTGGACGTGGCTCGAATGTAGGTCGACTGGCGTGCTCCAAAATAGGACGTTCAAACCTCTCCCATAGGAGTAACAACTATATGCAATTTGAAACATGTGGGTCAAACGGTTCTCGAGTTATCGTTGACCGTAACCAAATGTTGACAGACGGACGGACGGACGGACGGACGTACGACGGACAACACGCCATGGCAATAGCTCATCTTGACGATGTCAAGGCGAGCTAAAAACATAGGGAGTGGTGTATGTGTGGGAGGGAGTAGGGAGCTGATGATGTGTGGGAGGAATTAGAGGGTAGGTGCCATGAGAGAGGAAGTTGCTTCTGCTAAGGTTTGTAGCAGTATATGAGGAGCCGTTTAATGAGCTCTCACCTCTTGATGCTCATGGGCTGCAGCTGTCAGCTTCTCAAACGCGATGCTAACACCGACCACATGCTGAAGGGGTGCCACCAAACTGGGCCGTCTGTACTCTGCCACCTGCAATGGCATAATCAACACAGCTCAAGGAAAATAGCAAATTTTTTATTATATGTATAAAACTCCTGTTTTAGAACGAAGAGCATGGTAAATTACCGACATCTTTATTGACAACATTAATATTAATGTGTAGGGAAAAAGACATTCGTCCTATTGTTTCCTACATAAATAACACCAAATTGGAATGAAAATAATAGTGACAGTTGAAACGTTAGCATTTCTCTTTAGTATCTCTAAAGTACTCTTTAGTACTCTCTATAGTATTTATTGCATGCAGAGACAATAACTTTTTTTGTACCAGTTTGTCATATCTACCACCGACTGCCAGAATGTCTAAGCCTCCTTTTCGCCTTCTCTTCTTCATTTCACGTGCGAATTGGAAGAACATTCCCGAATAATACTGAACACTTAATACTAGTCCTAGGTTGACGAAAACCTGAAAATGCCAATCAGAAATTAGACTACATGATGTGTACCTATCATTACACAAAATTAAAGACTTATTAGTGGATCATAAGTATAAATTAATTTGCCTAATAATTATCATGTACAATTAAATAAGTAGGTGACTTGATGACTTCATTCACGCTTACCTGTATTTTAGCACCGAAATGTGTGAGATGATTCTGAATGATTTCTAGCTCATGTAGACCCTGTTTTGCCAACACTCCTGCCTGTAGCGCAATAAGCAAACACATAGAAGAATGCAGAGTAAACAATGACAAGTTGATGGCTTTCCATGACCACTAATAGTTTATAAGAAGATAGCAGTGAGGTTAGAGTGAATATTCAGTAAGCTCACACTGGCAGTGGTCACAGAATGTGATGTTACCTGCCCTGATATTGCATGGTCACAGAAAGTGGTGTTACCTACCCTGATATTGTACGGTCACAGAATGTGATGTTACCTGCCCTGATATTGTACGGTCACAGAATGTGATGTTACCTGCCCTGATATTATACGGTCACAGAATGTGATGCCACCTGCCCTGATATTGTATGGTCACAGAATGTGATGTTACCTACCCTGATATTGCATGATCACAGAACGTGGTGTTACCTGCCCTGATATTGTATGGTCACAGAATGTGATGTTACCTACCCTGATATTGCATGATCACAGAACGTGGTGTTACCTACCCTGATATTGTATGGTCACAGAACATGGTGTTACCTATACCCTGATATTGTATGGTCACAAAACATGGTGTTACCTACCCTGATATTGTATGATTCCAGAAAGCGGTGTTACCTGTGGTAGTACTATATTGACAGGTTATGAGGCTGTGGAGGCGGATGAATAGAAAAAAATAAAGGACTTGCAATATGGCTACCAAATCATAATCACTGTTAGCAGTTTGGCTGTGATGCGATACTACAACATGGTGGCAGCAGTTTGGTTTACGAATCCACTGTACAGTCAAAGTCTCCATCATTCTTTGGTCGTAGATGTCATGCAGCCACGTGATAGAATGAACGATGAAATATCAGGCTAGCTTGCAGCATTCGAGAGACTGAAGTTGAGAGTTACTACAGACTACATTCCACAGCAGGCGAACGACAATGGAAAAGACCGCAGCTCACGCGCAGCTCTGCAGCGAAAGCAGGAAAGACACAGAGAGCGGAGAGATCGAGCAGCAAGTCAGTGACGAAGCCCACGGCTGTTAAGACTGTTAAGAAAACTGCAAGTGCAACACCTTCATGGCAATAAGCCGACGCGCACAAGGCCGCGAGTGCTAAGACTGCAACGAGTAGTAGAAGAAAAGGCCGAAGTATTCGCCCGCGCTCTAGACAAAAGGACGCATCTAAGGCACATCTGGAAGAGCAAGTGTCATCATCTGCCAATGCGGAGGAGAAAACGAGGCCAGCACAGCAAAACTGCTAACAGTGATTATGATTTGGTAGCCATATTGCAAGTCCTTTATTATTTTCTATTCATCCGCCTCCGCAGCCTCATCACCTGTCAATATAGTGCTACCACATCTCCCTCACAATGGTAAGCACAACAAAAAGACTGTAGACACATTAAGCGTTGAAGTAAGAACGGTATATTGTTAATATATATGCCTATAGGATCGAAATACCATAGCCAGTAAAACGAGCGGTCCCGGTTTAGTATGTGTGTTAGAGTTTTTATATGCAAGCAGCGTGCTAAATATTGTATCAAACCAGCGAATAGGCAGGTCTATAAATAGATTCGACGTGTATAAACCGAATCAAGCAAAGTGTATGTTGTATGCTAATATGCTGTAGGTCCATTCGTGTATTATTAACACACGGTATACACGTCAAGCGATGTGTGTATCTACATACATGTATAGATAGGATGCATATTTACTAGTGTTCGTGATTCTGAATGGAATTGTAATGTACCTGCAGGTGATAGGTGCAGACTTACAGTGTTGTATCTCACACAGAGCATATATTGGCAATCGCGTATCCTTGAGTCAGGCTTCGGTGCGGTAGCATTGCTGAGACGACCGTTTGGTTTTAGTGTTGAGACCGTTGGATATTTTTATGAGTCTCTAGGAAGACCATTTGTTTACTTGAGTTGAGAATCAAGGATAGTCGTAACATGGCGCGCCTACCGGAAATGAGTTGGCAGCTAGATGCCAGACCTGGCAAGTGGGTTCTCTCTCTTTAGGCAGCGTATGGAGCTGTGTTTAAAAGACTTATACATTACGAATGGGGTAAAGAAAGCAACAGTTCACAGTTCTGAGCATCACCTGTCCATCCAAAGTTGGAACACATCGCCTGCAAGTAAAAGTAGATACTGGGGCAGGTGGCAACACACTTCCCCTCCGTATCATACATGAAATGTACCCCAAGGGACAATGGCGCTCTATTGTGAGACCACGACAAGTACAGCTTACTGCATACAATGGATCCAACATCCCTTGCATCGGTTCCATTGATCTCGTGTGCCTATACAAAGACTCCGCATGTACCAAACAGAAGTTCTTTGTGGTTGAGGTAGCTGGACCTGCGATCCTAGGCCTACCAGGCAGCAAGGCTCTGAGTGTCGTCACCATCCATACAGTGACGAAGGATGACAAGCTGCTAGAATACATACCTGACCAGGTCCAAAGCATTCAGACGGTTAAGGATCTCGTGGAACGGTGGCCACAACAGTTAGACCGGATAGGTGATTTCAAAGAACCGGCCAATCTTCTGTTAAAGAAAGATGCCACGCCACACATCGACACTCCCCGGAAGTGCAGCATACACATTAAGGACAAGCTGAGAGCAGAGCTCGATAAGATGGAGGACCAAGGAGTGATTCGTAAGGTCACACATCACAGACTGGTGCAGTTCCATCACCACAGCGATCAAAAAAGATGGATCTATTCGGGTATGCCTAGACCCAAAGCGTTTGAATGAGAATCTCAAGTGATGCCCCCACAAGATCCAGACACTGGAAGAAGTTAACCCAGAGTTCACAAACGGGAAGTATTTCACCAAGCTAGATGCCAAGTCAGGCTATTGGTCCGTGCATCTCAGTGAGGACTCGCAAGAACTGACCACATTTCGTACTCCATTCGGCAGATACTGTTTTCTGCGTCTACCCTTTGGGCTTTCCACAAGCCAGGATGTCTTCCAACAAAGAATGGATAATATAATAGGGCAAGTCTCGGGTTGTGTGTGCATCGCAGATGATGTCGTCGTCATGGGGAGTATAGAAGCAGAGCATGACCGCAACCTTGTGAAACTGTTTGAGACAGCAGCAAAGGAGGGCCTAGTGTTCAACAGCAGTAAATGCGTGGTGAAAGCAAAATCGATCAATTTCTTTGGAACGATCTACTCGGAAACGAACCCCAGGCCCGGTCTTATGTTGTCACCACACCAAATGGCACCCAACTTAGGAGAAATAGAGTGCATTTGAGAGACATATCCCACAGATGCCTTTCCTGGCATAACCAAATAAAACAGAGAGTACAGATCGAAGGGAACAAGACAAGGTGCAAGATCACACAGCGGGTAATGAAACAGAAGTATATCGAACACGTTCTGGACGTGTCAGTCAAAAACCAGCCCGTTATTGTTGAAAATATACGTTGACGTAGACTTAAATAGACGTTGGTGTAGTGAAGTGTTGCATACTTATTACATATAGGCCTACATATATATGAATACAGGTACTTGAAATTATATAAATCGTGTTATGACCCACGGAGTGCAAGCACCCATGCGGCTATGCATATATACATTCTGTTTATGTTAAAAGAAGGAAGAAGAACAGTGTATCGGTTATATGATATGGCTACCAAATCATAATCACTGTTAGCAGTTTGGCTGTGATGCGATACCTACCCTGTGTGCATTACCTACCCTGATATTATATGGTCATAGAACGTGGTGTTACCTACCCTGATATTGTATGGTCACAGAACGTGGTCTAACCTATCCGGATATTGTATGGTCACAGAATGTGATATTACCTACCCTGATATTGTATGGTCACGGAATGTGATGTTACCTACCCCGATATTGTACTGTTGTATGGTCACAGAACGTGGTGTTACCTGCCCTGATATTGCATGGTCACAGAACGTGGTGTTACCTGCCATGATATTGCATGATCACAGAATGTGGTGTTACCTACCCTGATATTGCATGGTCACAGAATGTGGTGTTACATGCCCTGATATTATATGGTCACAGAACGTGGTGTTACTGTTACCTGACCTGATATTATATGGTCACAGAAGGTGGTGTTACCTGTCTCAATACTGCATGGTCATGGAACATGGTGTTAGCTACACTGATGCTACATAGTCCCAGAGCGTAGTCTTACCTCTCCTGATCGCTTCGTTATCGTTCGCATCATACTGACGATCTTGTTCAGTGGTCCTTCAACGTCTATGAAGTTGTAGAGCATTGTCACAGACTTATCGGATAGTGACAGGTTACACAGCTTCGTCTGTACTTGGAAACAAGATAACTTTTCCACCTAGTTATAAATGAGAAATGAGAGAGAAAAATTCCATGCATGCTGGTCAGAAGAATTATAATATGTTGAGCTCTAAGTGGAGTCCCATTTTGGTATGCAGACACAATCAGAAGTAGATCAGGGTTTTGTGTAGGCCACACCCATAATCCAAATGGCAGTTAAAATTCACAATTTGAAAACAGATATTTACTATTTTGGCTTAATTAAGAATTCAGTCACCTTGCTCTCGTTGAGGATTGTGAATACATCATTGTGCAGCTCTTCAGGTATATCACAATGCATTAATATAGCCTTCAACAGTAACGCATGGTTTAGCTTTATGTGATAGCTCCTAGTCTGGAAAGTAAATGCATCAATCTAAGTCTTAAATAGGAAACAGGATGTCTGCATTGAAAGTACATAAAGTTTGCATCTTGATCCTTATACCATATACCTATCCTGGATGCAGTGCCGTTTGCAACAGGCAAGTCATGCGTGTGAATGATCTTACCTAGTATCTAATAACAAGAATGACAGTATGGTGTGGCATTAGCCACTTCAATAGCTCACTAACACAACTGATGACTGCAACTGTATGACACCTAGCTGTGCACGAGACGAAATGTGCCAGTAATGAACTACTGATTAACTAATTCGCTTAACTGGAAAAAATTAAACACGATTGTGGTAAGTAAATTTGGGGACCATATTTCCCTGTCAATTTCTCACTGTTAGAAAATGATTTATAGCATTAGGAACCCTAATAAAAAGGTATATATAATTACTCGATCTCTATCTTATCTGATATATACGTGCTTATGTTATTAATATGGGTAGCTGATTCTATATTGTTTCTGTATTGTTTACTTATGGTTATATTCGCTTTGACATATTGGCCTTGATTTTGACATGCTGTACTATTTTTCTTCAAATGGCTCATATTATATATACTGGTGTGCTGTGTACTGCCTGTTTAATGCAAACTGTCAATATTTCTACTAATCGGCTCACCATGCGGTTCATTGTATAATTAACTAGATCTGCTTCAATGTTATCTATCATGTTTCACTAGTTAATACGCCAATGCAGGAGCGGCTGACTTGGTGACTGTATAGTCAATTCACCCTCCCTCAGTCTTTTTATTGTTCACAATACTATTGCATTCTTGATGTAAAATCATAAGGCATAAATAAAATTGATCTAAATCTATCTAAAAAACATTCTACTCGCACTTAAGTGGGATCAGTAGATCGCCACAATAGCATGACTTACCTGGAGCACAGGAAACTGATCCACGATCTCACACACGACAGATAGAACTTCAGCATCTGCCACCAGCCTGCAAGAAACGACATAACTGCTTGATCACAGCTACTGATCAAAATAAGTTCAGCAATTAGAGGTATTAAAATCTGACGTTTATTACATGTTTTTAATGGATAATGAAGCCAGAGACCAACTGGTGAGCACACACAGCCAAACATAGCAACCTGTGCTGTAGGCTACTGGATAAAACGTCCCAGCCAATCAGTAATCATTGGTGGGCAGCGTCCTGGCCTAAACTGAGAGTGCCTAAGGGTATATCTAAACATGAGACCCTGTCCACTTGAAGAAGCAGTGCTATTACTAGGAATAAAAGCAAAAAAGCTGCAGATATTATATTTTAATTTGCTAATCGGGCCTGTACCAGATAGTCTTTAACCTAGCTCACACATACAATGTAGCCTGATTCTAAATAGCCTTTAACCTCACACTCGAATAGCCTTAAAATGGCTCACACGTAACCTTTAAACTGACCCCGATATAACAATTATCCTACATAATCTTAATCCTAACACCCATGCATCTTTTAATTTAGTTCCCCTATGTAACATTTAACTTGTAACCTTTAACATAGTCCCCCACATTACATTAACACTTGTAATGCGTAAAATAGCGTCCTACTTCTCCAATGTAGTTTTTCACCTATATAGCCCCTATGTAAATTGCATATTTTTCCAACCATTTGAGTGCAGATACTGATTGGGCTATACATATTATATAACATCACTCACGATGCAGCCGAGCTTGTGACAATGTCAAACACGCATTCTGTCAATTCCCTTGGATGACAGCCGAATATCTTTCTATCTCGGTATACTTTCTCGACACAATAGCGTTTCAGGCTGCTCACACTATTGCGGGCGATGTATCTTGCAAAGGGCACCTGCAGTAGCAGTAGCATGAGAAACTCTACTTATAGATGGACTTATGATGATAAAAAAACAACGTATCACCAGGTTACATTCATTTCACTATGATAATTTAGGTATAATATGGAGAATATTATAAAATCAATACTTGAATTCTTGCATGCGAGTCATTAAGGAAATTGAACTGCACTGTTGCAAGATATAATGCACCTACTGATAACTACTGTAGTTTAGTCACAATCCAAACATTATAAATCCATTAATAAGTTGGGCATGGATGGATGGATGGATAGACAGATGGATCGATGGATGGGTGGATGGATGGTTGAATGGGTTGATTGATGGGTGGACGGACAGACGAATTGATGGATGGACGCATGGATGGTCAGACGAATTGATGGATGGATGAATTGATGGATGGGTAGATGGATGGGTAGATGGATTCATACCTTTAAATTATAGGAAAAAATATGTTAGAGTTATGAGCACACTAATACTCACATATAGCACCTGTGCACGCTGGGAGCTTACCCTGAGGTCAAGTGGCAGGTCTACAATGAGTCCACTGTGATCGAGCAGCCTCACACACTGGTCGTTCTGCTCCCAGGGTCTGCAGCGCGGCACAAGCAGCGGTGTCGCGAGTCTGATCGCTCCGTGCCTGCGAAACACGCGCACGAGGATGCCCAGCACATGCTGCTGCAGCAGCACCGGCTCATTCGTGAAGCTGCCCTGCAATGTAAACAGCGAGAAACTGGGTGAGCCGAGACATAGGGTGAAACAAGACAAGGGGTGAGGCGAGACACGGGATGAGCCGAGATGTGGGGTGAGACAGACATGAGGTGAGACAAGATATGGGGGGAAGATACGGGATGAGTCAAGATGCGAAGTGAAGTGAGGAACAGATAATTGCTATGGTAGCAACGATGGTAAATTTGACACAATGGTGTAGAAGAACAAAATGCATCATAGAATCATGGAAAAAAATACTACACAGAAGCAGGTAATATATCACTAACAAGAGCAAACGGAGATAGCAAACCTCCACCACAGCGTAACAGTCTCCCGATCTTGCTGGTACACCCAATATAGTTTGATGAAATTTTCAGAAATTTGGAGAAAAAAAGAAAAAAGATCCAGGATTTTTTTCATGAATTTTGAATGCATCGGAAGTCAACCCCGCAAAAAATAAATTCTGGATCCAGATCTGGACCACCACCAAAATCTAATTGATTGGTTCTTGGCCCAAGACCAACGTACCCATCCAAAAAATTTCATCAAAATCCGTCCGTAACTTTTTGAGATATCCTGTTGACAGACAAACAAACCAACAAACCAACCAACAAACAAACAAACAAACAAACTAACAGGGGTGAAAACATAACCTCCTTGGCAGAGGTAACTAGCAGGGATGGTTTTACCTTGTGAATGTCCATGTCATATGTGAAGTCTGCAGCGGGGGTGACTGGCTGGGAAAACAGCGTATTCATCATTCTGTGGTACCCACTGCTTGTGTTGTTCGAAATCGTGTGCCTCAACACCTACAAGGCCAAGGTCAAGATAGTGCCAATCATGGTCAAAATGTGGTAATTATCAGATGGAAGACAACAGTCTGAATACAAACATACATGTGCGCATCTTTGGTGTGTTCGCGTCTGCATGTGTGCGTGCATGTGAGTGTGCACATGTGCCTGCACCTGCACGTATATTTGCATATATATTTATGTATATCTATTTGTAATGTGCATGTTAACATGTTAATATCACATGTGCAAAAAAGGGTGCAATATTTTCTTTATTACTATAAGCAGAGCTGATTGTTGGGTTGCGACTGATCACCTCACTGAGTTGGGCTTCCTCTAGCTGAGGGGGAGGGAGGTGGTGTGACTGCAGCAGCTCCTGTGAGGTCGGGCGATGAGCAGGATCATGGTTTAACAGCCACTGAATGACCACAGCCTGTGAACACATAGAGCAACACGAAAGAGACACACGTAAAATAAATTGAAATGTCCCTTATATTATCTAATAAACATACATGCGCACTTAATTTATGCATGCACACACGCATGTTCACATGCGCGCATGCACACACAGAATTAGTACACAAAAATCTCACCACTCCCCAGCTATTCCACAAGATGTCAATACAAATTATCAATTACATGCCATTACAGACAGCAGAGAAGCAAAGCCATTTAATTAAATAAACTCCGACCATCGCTCATTTTCAGTACTGTGACACTGACCACCACTGCTACCCACTAACCTCAGAAGACTCTCCGTCAAAGTCAGGGGGCAGCACTATCTGTGGCTCCCGCAGCTGTCCAATAATCTTTACTCGCTCCATGGTAGTGCTAGGTTTTGGGTAGCACATCTCAAAGAAGATCACTCCCAGACTATAGATGTCCACCTTCTACATTGACATTCACAATTTGAAAGCATAAGAGTGCGACTATCCATCCGACCACACTGTGAGGAGGCTGCAGCACCTAACTGTCTTGCCTACTTCATCAATGAGGTGAACACCTCTATTACTAAACATAAATCAGCTCTCATTTCTTAACAAACAGATGCGGAATTAAGTTGTGCCCTTTTTTGTTCATAACACCATCGTATTTCAACGACATACAATTTACACAATTGTTAGATTGTTTTTACAATCATTCTCTTACAAAAACACAGAAGTTACCTAATCGTTAGATTGTTACATAATTGTAAAATAAATCTTTACATTTACAGTCAGTGAACCAGGTCATACCGGGCCATACCTGATTGTAGCTGACAGTTCCAGTGCCTGCCATTAGCTCTGGACTCACGTATAGTGCAGTTCCCACTTTCCCCGTCAGGCCCTCTTGCCCAAGCAACTCCTCGGCACTGCCACAGCCCTCGGCACTCACTTGAATATCCTTTAAGCCTGAGATCATTTCCATCGTGGCCAGACCAAAGTCGCCAATCTTCACATGATTGTTAGAGTCAAGAAAGATATTGACTGGCTTCAGGTCTCTGTGAATCATTCCCTGCTGGTGCAAATGTGCCAGGCCTTCTATAATTTCTCGGAATAGGCGCCAGACTAAGTCAGTGTCTTTATCTAGACCTATGTCGATGAGATTGCGTAATGTGCTCTTCTCACAGTACTCCATCTGGTGGGAAGAAATCGCAAAAGGTTTCAATGTCACAAATTAACTACATTTAGCTTCACTTGTCTTTAATTTCAAGATAGTAATAGATGGCCAATAGTGCTGAGATTGACGAGCATCATGTACCAAGTAGTAACAAGGAGGGCTAGCATAAATTCATTTTAAATATTCTGACCATCCTTTTTTAACAAAACAAAACATGAATCACAACTCCCCTCCCCCAATTTACGATTTTTATCCATACATACACAGGTCAATACAAGGGTACAATACCTGGATGTACATAAACTGAATGACTTTGACTGAGTTGCTCTCAATCCGTGCACTGACTGCAGAATCATCTGTGGAAGGCTGCGCTCCACCACTGCTTGGTTTCCAACTTCCTTCAAAAACTATACCATCTGAAGATTCTTCCTCATCCTCATTACCAAACGGCCTGGAACCAGTGTAACACCATTAATTGTTGATATTTCATAGCTACGAACAACATTCCTCAATGCAAGGGATAAATTTGGACACATTTCAAAGAAAAAACTGGACATATAGTTACCATGAATTAGGATTTAATTGCGAGAAATCAATGTTTTAGTCAAACACCGAATCTCAAATCAGCCATAAAAACTTACAAGAACGTTCCGAACACGTCATCAGCATATTCTTCTTCGTCATCGTCGTCATTGTCATCGTCATCATCTGCAGTCTGCTGCAGATTACTGGGAAAACCATCTGACACACTCCACTCTATCGGTTCTCCAACATCATTGTTGAGCAACATCTCCAGGCTGTCCCCTATTCAAATGTGAAAGTAAATTGAATAAAATGCAATGTTTAACATCCAGAAATCCAGGAGTGTGATGTACTGAGTTGTTGGCTACTAAACAATAGTTCAGTGTGGCAATAATATAAAGTTTCACAAGTGCTTGCTTTGCTACCACTCCAGATTATACAAACCGTGTGCAGATAACACTGCCCAGCTGCAATCATTAAGTTTCGTGAAACAGTAAAAACCCTTTTCTAAGGGTTATTACAATGTTATTACATTGTGGCAAACATGTGTTTGGCTGCAGAAAACTATTATCTAGCTAGGGTTACCAAGCAAGCATGGTCAAAGTGTGAAATTGTATTATTACACACTTGCCTGTGACAACTGGGTATATATATATAATAGGATGAGTGGTTTCTTTTGTGAGGTAATGAACATTGATGAAAATATTATTACCTATTGATTTCTTTCCAGCATGATCAGAAGTAGATGCAAGTGAGCTGGAAGGTGTGAAACTTGTGCTTTCATCAGCATCTGTCTGCCTCTCCTCTCCTGTCTCGATCCATGAGTTGTAGTACCTAACAAAATATATATACAATCTCAGAACACACGTTTCTTCCTATTACTGCAGTTTATCCACATCCTCCATCAACCACTTTTACATGTATGTTCGGCACATCCACACAACTTTATGCAGCTGATCTTTAGCACATAATTAATTCGATCAATAAGTTCAATGCAGCATGCCAATAGACAAGATCTGCATCACAAGTTAAATGTCAATCCTTTTTCTCCACTATTTCTTATTCAAACAATAAGAAAATAATAGCAACAAGAACTTTATTAAATTATTTTATTAAAAGAATCACGTAATTTATGCTTGTTTCATTGAAACCAGGGTTCCGTGTTTGCTTTCTCACCGAACTACGTTGTCGTGGTTGAGACGTGACAGTAACTTCACTTCTCGGGTGATCTTCTTATTCAGCTGTCTGCTTTTGGGATTCAGAGGAATTCGCTTGATGGCATACACACAGCTGTCCAGCTTGTTACGAACCTGCGCAGACAGTGGTCTATGCAAAATAAATACAATCCCTGGAAGAATGATAGGGCAGAGCAGCACTCAAAATTAACACGAGCTTGGAGTCAAATACTTCCCGTTTTACTCCTGACCTCACTGATTTTATATCAGCAGATGTCCATGTGAATTGGTGACAATTTTGCTACACGCAGACAAATATCAAATACAATACTGTCACATTCTGCAGTAACTTCCAGCAGATGATACAATGACTTGTGTAATATCGGCAGTTACTTTGTTGTGTCATTAGTTTTATACACGTCATACTGCAAACTCTGGACAGCAATGACAGGAAGTGCGCTGGAGTTCCTTGATAAATGTTCTATTACTGCCATTGTAGATTGCAGGAGCAACACTTCATGTGTAGCTTACCTTGATCACATCACCAAAGCCTCCCTTTCCAAGGAACTTGAGGATCTCAAACTCATTCTTGAGACGTGATTGGCCAGTTGAGCCACGTGACCATATAAGGGGGATCTCAGTGTCCAAGTCACTATCGTGTTCTCCCTCCGCTGTAAAGTGTCGAGGAAGCCATGATCATGTTAAAACCTCACAAGTCGCACCATGTTGCACTTTTCTTACCTTTGGTATAACATTGGTATCAACCAATTTCCTTTAGTAAATTCAACCTCTAACACATGTAACCTCCAACATGTATTGGTAAGATTTATAAAATAGATATTATTATTATTGATAGTGATATATTGTTTAACTAACTTTATTTGTCAATGCTGAAGTTTCACTTTGAGCTTATAATACCTTTATTTTCCTCTCGTTTGTTTCGTTGACCAGTGGGTGGCATTAGCGACAAAGTTGGTTTCAGGAAACTGTGGTCAAGAAGCTGTTGGGCGGACCAGCGATCTCGCTCATCCTCTGCCAGACATCTAGAAACAAGTGACAAATCTAGATCTCACAGTTAGATTTTTTACTGGCTCCTTACCGAGCATATATGACCGCAGCAACTATGCTGTTTGGTAGCAACTGTGTAACATGTACATTTTACAGAATGTGGTTGCTATCCTTACTCTAACCACCTGATTTAGTGATATCATACACATTTCTACAGTAGGTGTTGACAGAAGCTAATAGGTATGGAGTGACCATTAAGTGATTAATCATGAGTTAATCACAACATCAATAACAACAACAACAACAACAACAACGACAATGAAATTGTCAATGACACTGTAGCTCACCACAAAAAAGGACACAAATGAGTGAGTGAGAAGAAGTCAGTTTTAATTGAGCAACCATCGACGTACATTATAGAAACGAAGAGTATATATGGGAGAACTCCTATTATATACTCTTGATAATTATATGTGTAATTTTTTATGTGAAAATAAATGTTTGACGTGGGAAAGTCTGAGATGTGGGCGAGTGTGGGCGTTACACCGCCTAAATGATCGCCATTTAACGTTTTTATAATATTCAGATTTAGGCACTGCCTAAAAGCGTAGCTCCCGATGTATAACGTGTAAGATTGAGAGGATACGCTTATTCCACGTAGCTGCTATATACCACGTGACAATGGTGTTTCCCTGCCCATAACACAACTTTTGTCACAGGTTAATTGGTTGCATGGAAGTGTTTACTTCGTATAAGTTTTTCTAAGCGGTAGCACATGGTTGCCATCTGTATATCGCAATAATAATATATAAACCAAAATGAATCACAATTTGTGACGGTGGCGCTATACCCGCTTTGATGTTTCTTAGCGATGGCATTCGAAATAAATAGGTTATGCTGCGTTCTGACATGTTTTGTAAATCTTTACTCTAATATAAACGTTTTATTGGCAGGGTGGAGAGGAAATAGCAATTTTTCATTAAAGATATTGTCAAGGAAATCTTGTAAAACGAACCAGACGAGTGTGACACCACAGACTGTTATCTGTGTGTCTTGATAATATGCTATATATATGCCAAAACCTACCTAATTTGAATAATTTTTTTTTAAATATCAAAACCCCTGTAATACGTTTTGGGGCGAGCCCTTATTTATTCACATACCAAAAATGAGCAAAATCCATTGAAGCTGAACTGACTAATGGCAATTTCCATTTTTGCCAAAAAATTGCCATGGCTCGAAAGTACGTCGACTGGCGTGCTCCAAAATAGGACGTTCAAACCTCTCCTATAGCAGTAACAACTATACCCAATTTCAAACATGTGGGTCAAACGGTTCCTGAGTTATCGTTGACCGTAGCCAAATGTTGACGAAAGGACGGACGGACGGACGTACGACAGACGACGACCCATGGCAATGGCAATAGCTCATCTTGACGATGTCAAGGTGAGCTAAAAACAGCAGCAGCAACAGCAGCAAGATCACCACCAACAACAGCAACAGTAGCAACAATAACACTACCAGCACCAACTATGCAACAACAACTTTTGAGAGTCACTAACTAGTGATTCATTTTGTATACACTTAATCTAAATGATGTACGATTTGCATTAATTTTGTCCTATACCACAGATCAATCTTAATTGCATATTCGAAGGTAATGTTTAAGAATAAACACTACAACTAAGACAGATAATTGGCTAACTTTTCCAAGAAGTCTTGCAATAGTGCTGGTAGACTGGTCGGTACCTTCTCAGATGTATCTGTTACCAAGAGCCCTGTTGCTAATGACAATACAACCATGCCCTGAAACAGTAGTATGCATACATTCAGTCTAATATAATTGGAAAACAAGTGCCGCATTAGCGACAGTGCTCATCTGAGGTCTGCTGCTCTACTGTACTGGCCTTCGTTTCTGCAAAAGGTTGAAAGCCTGTTCTATCTCTAAACCAGCTACGTCATCATCAAAACAGTGTAGCATAGGTATTAACACTAAAACTAAACCCTAACAATGCATCCTACTTCATACCTGCTCGACTGTCTTATATATTCGTGTCATAATGTATCACTAGGCCTATAGTTGCCGTGAGATGGCGCGTGCAAGTGTAATCAATAATCAAAGATAGCATCGTCCTTCGTGCATTGGTGATAAGTCAAGAAAGTAGAGATAACCTAATTCCATTGAGTTGCTGAAATTTACAGGCTAAAATCCAAGTATATTCAGGCAGGCGACAATTTCGCTCAGCTGTGAGTAATAAATTAAACACATCTGCATTGCAGGTGTGCATGTTTATTAGAAAAGTGCCAGTTCACCCACATGCATGAGTAATAGGTTGCCCCCGAGTTTTTGCCTACATTTCGGATGACGGTAGCCACGCGAGCATTCAGGGTGCTATTAATATACAGACTGCTTTAGAAAATAATATGATTTAAGGAGTGTAAACCTTGTTCAACAAACTTTTGTCTCTGCAATTGAACTGCAAATGTAGCCTCACATCCACACAGGTATGGGCTCTAATAATAGCAAAAGCAGTTCAATCCTTTGTTAACATTCAACAAATCCATGTTTAACCCTCCTCTTGAGGGTCAAATGGTTATCACACACTTACTCTTCGCACGTCAGTGGAAAGCACATTTCATGGTCCTTTCAATAAAGTGATAAAAATGGTAGGTCAGTGCTGAAACAAAAAAGTATTTCACTCTGTCTGTTATGGCCATGTCCTCAGAAAATGTCTGATATCTGACCTTTCCCCCCCTGCCCTTTGACCTGTAACCTCCAATTTCGCACTGGTGATGGGTTTCCTGCCCATCACACTATACACCGAATATTAAGAGCATAGGTCGAGCCGTTAAGATTTGTGCCGCAATTCCGTATTTCCTCCTATACCTTAAGTTAAGGGGGAAATATTCCCCCTCCGTTTACACATCTTGACCTTTGACACTTGACCCCCAAATTGGTCATCCCGAGTCCTTTTCACGATCACCCCCCCCCCCCATGCCCCAAATATCGTAACCGTACGTCGAGCGGTTAAGATTTGTGCCCAACTGTTGACGGACGCACGGACGCACGGACGCACGGCCGGATGCACGGACGGACGCACGGACGCACGGACGCACGGACGAATGCACGGACAATCATGCGATTCTACAAGCTGCATCTGACTTCGTCAGATGAGCTAAAAATAAAGGGCATAACTCAAGCTTTTACTAATATTTTAAACCTCGATTTTTACAACTCCTGGTGTGTGTAGATGGGGTGTATTGCGTATTTTAACCACACTTTCAGGGTTCATACACCTAAGGCAAAACTTCCTTGTAGTAGTTCCCATGAATCTCCCAGGACTTAAAAGTTCTACTTTTCATGGCTTGGAGATTACGTCCAAATGCGATCTTTCTTCCTCGTATCATCCAACTAAGGTTTAGTGAACAAACTCATGCATAAAGCAAATCTGCCTCCCAGATAACCTAGACATGTGCTGATTTTCAATGACTTTCTAGACCTGGAAAGTGTCACTTTTTAATGTTCCAGATTATTCCAGGCTATTCCAGGTTTTCCCGGATTCGTACAAACCTGCACTTCCACATGGCATACACAGGAAGCAGTCTTCATCATGAAAAATATAAGGAATTGCAATATTGCAACATTCATGGTTAGGCTCCCCATACTAGTTAGTAAAATAAGTGAGAAAATATTATATCACACCATCACAGACTCACCAGTCTGAAGATGTCGGCTTTCTTGCCTCCCCTGCCTGGTACCAGCATGATGCTACCAAGATCATCACCTCCATTTGCAAGACTGCATAGTTCTGCTATGCGCTTGTCCAGACTGTAGTCTGCAATCTGTGCCTGCAGACAGCTGTTCACAAAGACACTCGACTCCTACATGACAAAATCAATCACAGATAGTATAACGCAATTCATGTAGATATATATATATATATATATATATTATATATATATATATATAGTATATTTATTAAATCTCAATAAATGATATTTTTTTAATTCTCATTTTATAAATTTTATTTACAGCTGAATGGGCTTAAACATCATGCCATCAATATTTAATATCTACCATATTTAAACAGATAAGCAGAACTGTTTTGTAGTTTTTGGATGTAATTCATTTTCAGGTCATTTGTAACTGTGTTTAGTTGTTGTGAATTTTACATTTCCTCGAATCAAGCTACCCTAAGGTCTTTGTGTACAACGGCTTTGCTATGTAGGTATGCCAAGCCCTCCAGCATATCATGGGTGAAGCGGTACAGATGCTCCATGGGAAGTGGAATGCCTTCATCTCCCACATAAGCGGTGAGGGATGGGCCATTCACAAACTCCTTCAACACCTGGCATACATTATAAAAATAAATTATTACACTTAAATAGTAAAGACACTTATAGATATGCTAACTACTTGTACTTTATTGCCTTGAATAGGGAACAGTGTAGGTGTTAGTCAGGATCCAGTAGAAGAGAACATGTGCTACATATAAGCAGATATATGCAGTCAGACAGATAAACCATACAAGGATGAAAAGGTTGATTTAAGTTTAAACAAGTGCCGCAGTGCGACAGGGCTCATCTGGGTGTCTTGGTGTTCTGACTGATAAACTCGATTTTGTGCATAGCAGAGTCTCTTTATACATGTCTTCTTTATTCTGTTTGATTTCTAGCAATTGGAACAACTATATCAGCATACATTTTCGCCACCCCCTAATCTCTATGCACTGCGAACACATGTGCATTGCAGGTTGGCAGGAAACAATGTATGATTAGTAAGCGTGCCAGCCATCGCTACACGGAGCCTGCCCCGTGTTTTGCCTACCACAGCGCAGCATTCACTGATTCAGCTTCAGAAGTGCCTATATGACAGACTGCTTAGGAAAAGAATTATGATTTAAGGAGCGTTAATATTGTTCAACAAACATTTGCCTGTGCAATTAAACTGTGCAACTGTAGCCTCACATTCACACAGGTATGGGCTTTAATAATAGCATAAGCAGTTCAGTTCTTTGTTAACAGTCAACAAATCAATGTTTAACCCTCCTCTTGAGGGTCAAAAGGTTATACGACACTTACTCTTTGCATGTCAGCGGAAAGTACATTTCACGGTCCTTTCAATAAAGCCATAAAAATGGTAGGTCACCGCTAAAACAAAAAAGTTTTTCAATTGCTCCGTCAGACCATGTCCTCAGAAAATGTCTAAAATCTGCCCTGTGCCCCATTGACCTTTGACCTGTGACCTCCAATTTCAGCACAGTGATGGCTTTTCCTACCATGATGCTATACACCGACTATCACGAGCCTAGGTTGAGCCGTTTAGATTTGTGCTGCAATTCTGCATTTCCTCCCTATACCTTAAGTTAAGGAGGGAATGTTCCCCCTTCTTTTACACCTCTTGACCTTTGACCCCCAGCTTCGACATTCCAACTCGTTTTTGGATTACCCCCCCCCCCCCCGCGTCCCAAATATAGTGACCGTACGTCGAGCGGTTAAGATTTGTGCCCAACTGTTGACGGACGGACAATCATGCAATTCTACAAGCTGCACACGTCAGATGAGCTAAAAAATACAGAAGTGACATCCATAGCATACGCTATTGCAAGCATTAATTAACCACAAGTCGTAATTCGATCACCACTGTAGAACGCACGTTTTGCACACTCAAAATACATGCTCATATAACATCACTAGTCACAGTTACACCTGAATTGTGATCATCGTGTTCTCAATGCTGAACTTCATGGCCAGGTAGGACACCAGGTTAGGGTGACTGAGCTTCAACAGAGAGCTCAACTCCTGCTCTATGCTAGAAAGCTGCAGCGGAAAACAAACAACTAGTCAAACCGACAACTAGCCAAAATGTATTAATGAAAGTGTCAATGACATTGTAGCTCACCTTGGGTGTGATAGAAGAGGGAGGGGGGATATATAAAGCAAGAGTATATATGGGAGAACTCCCATTATATAGCTTATCTCCCATTCTATACTCTTGATAATGATCACTATATGCATAAGTTTTGATGCGAAAATAAATGTTTCAGATCTGAAAGTCTGAAATCTTGACGAGAGATGGCGCCTAAATGATCGCCATTTTGGTTTTCGAATATCGCGCAAAAAAAAACAATAAAATATTCCAGTCAAATTACTGTAATGAAGAATCTAAAACACAATATTACACGTATATAGGTATGATTGTAGAGTTGTTGACCAGTTAGAAGAAATAAATGTAATAGGACATTGTCATCTCTCCCATAGGAATAACAACTGTTTTGGGGCTAGCCTTACACATTCATATACCAAAATTTAGCAAAATCGAATGAATATAAATTGCCATTTTCATTTTTGCAAAAAGGTCGACTGGCGTGCTTCAAAATAGGACGTTCAAATCTCTCCCATATGAGTAACAACTGTATGCAATTTGAAACATGTGGGTCAAACGGTTCTTGAGTTATCATTGACCGTAGGCAGACACTGAAATGCATAGCGAAATTGCTCAAATCTACCTAATTTGAATAATTAAAAAAAAATATCAAAACCCATGTGATATGTTTTGGGGCCGGTCCTTATTCATTCACATACCAGAAATGAGCAAAATCCGTTAAACCTGAATTGACTTATGGCCATTTCCATTTTTGCCAAAAAGTGGACGTGGGTCGAAAGTCGAAAGTAGGTTGACTGGCGTGCTTCAAAATAGGACGTTTAAACCTCTCCCATAGGAGTAACAACTGTATGCAATTTAAAACATGTGGGTCAAACGGTTCTTGAGTTATTGTTGACCATAGGCAGACACTGAAATGCATAGTAAAATTGCCAAAATCTACCTAATTTGCATAATTTAAAAAAAATATCAAAACCTGTGTGATATGTTTTGGGGCCAGTCCTCATTCATTCACATACATCATTCCTCTTTTCATTCATTGAACCTGAACTGACTTATGGCCATTTCCATTTTTGCCAAAAAGTGGACGTGGCTCGAAAGTAGGTCGACTGGCGTGCTCCAAAATAGGACGTTCAAACCTCTCCCATAGGAGTAACAAATATATGCAATTTGAAACATGTGGGTTGACCGTAGCCAAATGTTGACGGACGAACGAACGGACGGAGGGACAGACGGACGGACGGACGTATGACGGACGACACCCCATGGCAATAGCTCATCTTGACGATGTCAAGGCGAGCTAAAAATAGGTAACTCAGCGAACAATCTGTTTCTACTCACGTTAGTCTCATCAGGCTCCTTAAACTGTTGCTATGTCTCAAATGATGACCATTCTTTTTAATGTGAGCAGACTCAAGCACACAATTTTAACCACCCCCGTAACTAATTAAGGATTTAAGTGCACGTATGAGCACCCTTGTACGTAAGGATACCCCACACATATGGACATGTGTAAGTATACGTGTAAGTGCACATGTAGGCAGCCCTGTAGCTACACCTGAGCAGTGAAAAAAATACACAGGGGCTCGGGGCGATTTAGCCCCCGAAATGCCAAAAAGAGCCCCGCAAATGCCAAAAAGAGCCCCCGTAAATTTGCATAGAGTTCAATGCAAACCAAATTTTAGAGTGCTATTTTCATGCACGCGAGCTTGAAAAGTAGACCCCGAAAAATAAATTTTCTTTTTTCCCTGCACCTGAGTATACCTGTAAACACACCTGTGAACACACATGTACACACACCTGTTTACGATACTGATTGGCTTCCTTCTCGAACGTCTGTTGCTCGTCAGCGCCCATCTTCATCGACATGAGGTGCCACTGTAGCACCCACTCACACACGACCACTAGCTGGCCAGTGAACTTGTCCATACCCACATACGCAGTGCTGCCCAGTGAACCTCGACCTACAAATACAAACTCAAAGTCAACTGAGCTGAGCAGCCACCTACCACAGCATGCAATAGATAATAGCACTAAGAGTACAGGAGATTAAATTTGCATATTTTTGCTATATAGACTTCAACAAAACAGCGCACAATGTGTTTTAGTAGGCAGGTGTCCTTCATACTCTAGGTACAACTTCTGTTATCATTGGTTTAGTAAAGTATCTAACCATATATGGCATGCACCACAACTATTTAAAAGGTAGAATGAAAATTACCATTAAAAACACCAAGGGGTGGAACCCCAAACATCGTGATATTAATCACGTAGATTAATAGCACTCACCAAGGTATTTTCCTTTTTGGATAATTATATCCTCTTTGCCAGAAAAGGTTATGGTTGATGGCTTGTATGATGGCATAATGTCATCATCATCATCTGCCCTTATCGTGTCTTCAGAACACTGCCTAGCATGTCGCGCCCCCTTACTGTTCAGGAGCATACAAAGCCCCATAAAAAATGGCATAAGAATTTTCATAATTTTTATAGTTAGCAGACAAAATAATAAGTAGCATAACTCATTAAACAAGTTCATTCGGTTGGTAGAATAATATAAATAACAAAGTTAATTTTTACTCAACCGTGCAAGTTTGAAACGTACCGCTGATGTTTTGCCTCCTGTCAGGAAGCTTTCTCAAAGCAAACTGATGTTAATCAGTTTTGACCACCAGATGGTGTGGTGGTCAATAGCTCAGTCCACACGTGACTAAGCCTACGACCACATATTTCAAATTCAGAGACCAAATATACAACCAGAAGTTCGGAGCAGCCATGGGTAGCCCGGTCTCGCCTATAGTTGCCAATCTTTACATGGAATGGCTTGAAACGAAAGCCATTGAGACGGCACCGTCTGATCTCAAACCTAAATTGTGGCTACGCTATGTAGATGACACATTGGAAATCATCAAGTCTAGTACAGTCCAACAATGGACAGAACACCTCAACAGCATCGACTGTACCAACAACATCAAATTCACGTACGAGGAAGAACTCGATCAAAAAATTCCGTTCCTCGACACACTCATCCATAAACGAGAAGATGGTTCATTAAAACTGACGGTGTATAAAAAAAAGTCCCACACGGACCAGTACTTAAACTTCAACTGACACCACACAGTCAACCACAAACTGTCAGTGGTACGGATGCTACTAGAACGTAGGGACAAAATCATAACGGAGAGTGAGGACTGGGAAGCTGAAGCGCGCCACATCAAGAATGCACTAGAAAAATGTGGCTATCCCAATTGGACACTCGATAAAGTGTCCAAGGAGATGCACCACACATCACGGGAAAAAACAACATCCCAAAAGAAAACCTCCACGGAGAAACTGAAGGCGATGATCGTCCTACCCTATGTCAGAGGGGTCACGGACGTAGTTCAGCGTCACCTAAAAAATGCAGTTGTGGCGTCAACAGTGAGACCGTTTGAGACTCTAAAACGGCTTTTGGTACATCCTAAGGACAGAACAGATATGCACAACATTACGGACTGTGTTTACAAGATACCGTGTGCAATGTGTGGAAAAAGTTACATTGGAGAAACCGGTCGAAAATTTATAACCCGCCTAAAAGAACACAAAAAGGACGTAGACACCGTAGCACCCAAATCGTTCACAAGGGCCCAACGAAAACAGTCGGCTACCGAAATCACCAAATCCGTGATCACTGACCATGTAGCGAAGGACAATCACACCATCGAATGGGAGAATTCGAAGATCATCGATCGCGAGCCTATCAAAATCAGGCGATGGATTAAGGAGGCCATCTGGATCCGCAAGACCCCAAACATCAACCGGGACGAGGGGGGTACAGGCTTAGTCACGTGTGGACTAAGCTATTGACCACCACACCATCTGGTGGTCAAAACTGATTAACATCAGTTTGCTTTGAGAAAGCTTCCTGACAGGAGGCGAAACGTCAGCGGTACGTTTCAAACTTGCACGGTTGAGTAAAAATTAACTTTGTTATTTATAATAAGTAGCATACTCTGGTATTAATTTGGTATATAATATAAAAATTCTTAAGATGACAGATAGCAAACAAGGTAAGGAATGACCATGAAATGTGTTGGTTTTGTGTCCATGATTATTTCACCACGTTATTGATATGCATAGTGATTATTACCGTAGTTTTTTTATGGCCATGAGAGAGTGCACAGGAATTTTGCAAGTCTTTGTTGGACTTCCTGCAACTGATAGCTGTTTAACTAGGAGTGGGCTGCAGGGTACAGGTGATGTATCTCGCACTATTGTTGACTCAGGTGTCTGTCGCTGGAAAATTAACATTATATTATAACCAGTTCTGACTGTTTCTTGTTAGCTAAATGGCTGCCTCTATTTACATATATACCTATATAATCACAGCTACTGCACCACATGCATGTTATAGTCTGTAGAACATGACAGCTACTACAGACCAATTATTGACAAAGTCATAGAGCACTCTTACATTTGTAGTTTCAACTCTGATTTTTAGTATCTCTTGTCTTTTCCTTATCTCAGCTTCTATCACTTGATACTGGAAAAATCATTGCATATGACTAAAACATTATAACTACACTGGCACGAGCATGCAGAAGTAGATATCAAACATAGCCGACACGCTTTACGGCATGACATGGCTAGAAGTGGCAATAGAAAACAACTGGTTAAATAGAGCAAGTATCATGCAACATGGACAGTATCACATTTAGGTAACATTAGGAACTGTCACTGTTGATGAGCTACATAAGTACATCTGAATTTAACAAAAATAAAATCGTTTTTATATACACCTCATGTACATGTGTACATACGTATTGTCAGGGGTTAATAATGACAAACATTTTCATTATTAACCTCTGGTATTGTTACATGCGAGGTAATCATACATGCAAAAACATTCAGTATTAGTGGTACATGTGTGATTATTTACAGCTGCTGCTAATTATAACAACATGTTCTGTAAACTGAAGGTTGGAATATCTGAAGCAGACCATGTCGCTCATCAGTGGTGGGGTTATGGCAAAAAATACAGACCACCTAAATCGCTAGACCCTATCTCAATAACGTACACACCTCCTGCTCTTCCCTCTTCTTAAGTTGATCCACCTTCTTCTGCTCAATGACAGCTAGCTTCTCCTGCTTCTTCCTGTTATTGGAGAGCATCTCCTCATAAAAGGACTTGAACCGTGGGGTGTTATGCTTGTGTAGGTATTCCTGCACATGCTGTGCGAGCTGTAACATCATCACCTGCACGGCCAAAACAGAACAGGTTTTCTCGGATACATAAACAAAAACATTTGAATCTATGCAGCTTTATTAACTGCATTCACAGCTACGACAACAGAATGCACCACTGATCTTGGAAACAACTTTGTCTTTACATAATATCTACTTCAAGGTTTTGATACACAAATGAGAATCGATAAAAATAAAAGCAGGTGTAGCATCGCAACAAGAAGCATTAGTGAAACCTTTTTTAAAACTAATACCGCAATGCTTACATCTTTTACAATGTTTGTTTATTAGTTGGAGTAATTTTGATAAAAACTTAAATGTTAAACAGCTGGAAACTGTGCCTGTGACATGATTGCTCACATAATTAATCAGCATAATCTGCTTTATAGCTATCTCGATCCATGAAAACAATCATGTAAATAGTCATAAAAAATTATTGGCATTACACATTTGTTGAACTCAACACATTTTAACAACAATGTAAACATCACTTTATCTGAACTACTAGAGGCTCAGCAAGGGCCAACATAATAAGTTGTAATATTTCTATCACAGACCATTCAAGTGTGTAACTGACCTCTCCTCTCAGCTCCTGCATGATGCCATGAAGTTCTGTCATCAGCTGCTGAATATCCAACTTGGACAATCCCTTGCTATTCTCCAGTTCCACCTCTGGCTCTCTACATCATAAAATGCAGTATACATACAAATTGTGCAGCCATATACATTTAAACTGCACATTCAATTTGTAAACGTAGCATATTTGACTGTACTGTATATTATAGCCAGACCTGTGGTATTGGACCCCTTTACGGAACAGACACCT